AGCTCGAAACCGAAGGCGAGACGGGAAGGGCGAGGGCAAGGGGGAGAGACGGGAAGGACAACACGGGAAAAACAACCTAAACGCGAGAAGCATACGCGGAACGGCGCCCCTAACCGGATTACCCTACCTTAAGGAAATCACGATATTAAAACGACGCGTTTTCAAAACTTTTATGGCGAACGCCATTTCCAAACGGAAGGGCGGTAAGCGCCCTCAAACGAGCCCTTAATCTGCTGTTAGTATAAACTCCATAAAATTACTGGCACATGCTGACAACAAAATGAACAGAAGTGAAACGAACACCTACCTAGTGAATGCAAGCAAGAGCTTCGATGTGAGTCTGTGGGAGAGTTAACTGCATAAGAATTGGTTGCTGTGTGTGTAAATTCCCCAATAACCACATTTTGGAGAAATGATTCATTGTGCTCCACTTGCAATACAGCTTCCCTGCAAAATCTCCCACTGTGCAAAACCGTACCATCTCGTCAATCAAAGCAATGCCAAACCCTATTTCTTCGCCTGCTCTTCTTCTTCGAATGCTACCACCTCATCCACCATTACGCCGGTCAGCGGCGGAAGAAAGAGGGTTAGAAATCGGAAACTTAATCCCGGCGAAAAGGAGGGCATAGTCGAGGAAATGAGATTCGTTGCCATGAAACTTCACACGAGCGACATCAACGATGAGGCCGACGGAATCGCCGCCTCCAAGATCGCCACATGGCAGCCTTCCGTGGAGGGCTTTCTCAAATACCTCGTCGATAGCAGACTTGTCTTCGAAACCCTAGAACGGATCGTCGAGGACTCCACCGATGTCACCTGTAAGCTTTATTAGTTTATTTCCTCTCTTTTTCGTGCGCTAATCTATCGTTTTCTATGCTCTGCTACAGATGTTTACTTTAGAAGAACTGGTCTGGAACGATCGACTAGTTTGTTAACGGATTTGGAATGGTTTAGGCATCAGGGATATGTCATTCCACAACCGAGTTCTATTGGAACTGCCTACGCTTCTTATATTGCGGATTTGGCTGGAAAAAGTGCGCCATCATTTCTTTGTCATCTCTACAACATTTATTTTGCTCATTTATATGGTGGCTGTGAGATCGGCAAACAGGTATGGCTCTAAAAATGGAATTTGCATTTCTACTCCATTCTGTTTTAATATAAGAACTGCTAGTTCATACAATTGTGTGGCTATAGGTGGAGACTCTGGAATTTTTAATTTGGTTTGATGATGGAAGATTGAGCTTAAATGAAAAAAAGGGACATTTACATACATACCAGAAAATTCTTATATATTTACATATTTAACACCCAAATTATATTCTTTACATTTATAGCACTCAAATCTCTCATATCACATAAAACAATACCACTATTTTAACTTAAGTAGTGAAATACACATTTTCATGTATAGTTAAGGTGCCATATATGTGAAAAATTAAAATTTTGGTGTTAGAAACATAAATATATAAGAATTGAGTGTTATGGATGTAAATCTTCCAAAAAGTAAAGAGCCCAAAAATAATCTATATTTAGGTTGAAACCAACTTGAACTAGGTGAAACCTATAGATTGTTGTATGCTATGTTGAGATTGGATCGAAATGTTTATGCATGCATGGAAATATTTATGGCTGTGTTTATATTGTAAATCAATTAAAAATTGATTTTTTGTTTCTCTTGGGTTGGGCTTGGATAAATAATTAAGTATTAATTAGTTGGACTTGTTTGGGGTTGTAAACGAATCGAGTCAAGCTCGAGCCACCCATGGCTTGAACTTTAGCTTGATTAATTAATTGAGCTCGAGTTCTAGTTTAATTATACAAGTTCAAGCTGCCTCATGAGCCGGTTTGTATATTATGAAAGAGAAAAAATAATTTTAATTCATGTTAGTGTTAGTAAAATGATATATAGGATTAACATTTAAGAGATAATTAATAGGAAATCAATTTTTATAAAGTGTAAACTATCTTTTTTTAACATTTTATATAATTTAAAGATAAACTCTTGAATTTTAATATATTTTGAGCAAAATTTATATTAATTATTTTTTAAACAAGTTGATTCACGAGCGAAAGAGTCGATTTAGAGCAGGTTTGAGCTTAGCTTGTTAGTTCATCGAGCTCAATTGAAGAATCTCTTATTGAGCTGGACTCACCTTGGCTTGATTACACCGCTAGACTTGTCTTTTGATTTACAAGCTAAATCAATCGTTAGGATATAATCCACTTCATTGGATGTTGCTATAGCTTTGGATTATTCATACTTGATTTGATGCCAATTTTTAAAAAATTTGGCCAAGTTAGCAGTCAGATATAAATATATTGGGTTTGGGTGGTACATCTGTAAATGACTCATCAAACAAATCAATTGGAGAAAAAGCTACTAAAAAGCTTATGCTCCAGTAACCTGGTGAGCTTTTTGGCATTGATCTGCAAGCGCCAAAAAACAAAGGTAAGGATTGTGCTATGATATAGGGTGCTATACCTATGATTTTTGCTTCAATAACTAGGTGAAACGTTGAGGGAGCTATAACTTTTATGTTATAGGAAATAAGAACAATGCCTATTGGAATTTTAGAGGAGAAAGGATGGGATTTGTGAAGTATTTTTATTTTAGATTAGTTTCATTGTAGGAAATTAAGGCTATTTATAGATAAATATATCGTGGATAAATTCTCATCTGCTTGTTAAACCACTTTTACAAGAAAAAAAAAACAAAACAAAAAAGAACCCTGCCTACAAGTAGTTAACTAGTTATGTTTAAACTAAAAGATAACTCTAGCATGAGTTATCTTAGGTTTAAACTATTTAGGTACCAACCGAGAGATTTTATTAAGCTATGCTGGGTTGAATCGAAATATATATGCATCATATTTTTGAATGTATGTATAAAAAATTCAAGGATGTATTTTTATATTTTAAATCAATTAATTTTTTTTTTTTTTGCTGTTCTTGTTAAGTTGAGCCTGAATAAAAATAACTGGGTTAGACTTGGCATTCTATCAACGAGCTAAGACAACTGTTATCAATTGTGAACTTAAAAGTTATGTCATTGTAGTGAGTTATAGCTCTGGATCAATCAAATTTGGTTCCATTTTAACCTCTTAAGCATTTGGCTTAAGTTGACAATTTGGAAGCTAGAATTAGAGAAAGGAGGTTTATATATATATATTGTACTCATATGATCGAGTGCAAACGAGAATATAGCTAGATTGAATATTTCTATTGTAAATGACTTTACTGTTTTCTTCTTTTAGTTACTATAGAAAGGATGTTCACTTCTTGGATTTGAACTTTCCTTTATTGGACAACAACTTGTTCATTGTTTTTACAATATGGAACAACAACAACAATGACAATAGTAGCAAGGCTGTGGCAAGACAATGGTTTGAAAACAATAAGATAGCAACGAGTGGCATTAATACAAACAAGGAAACAATGATAACAAATACAACAACAGCATGAGGGCATAGCTATAAGAAAGTTTATGATACAATACCATGGAGAGTCTTTGGCTCTGATCTATAGGTCCTGGCAAACAAATGTAGCAGCCGTGCTACAGTACCATCTACTATAGTTATGCTTTTTTAGCTACAATAAACTAGATGAAATGCAGAGGAATCTGGCTTTTATGCTATAGGAAATACGGCCATTGATTAATGGAATTAGAGAGTAACAGAGGATAGGTTTTGGCATGAATGTTGATTTTTTATTTTATTTTTATTTTTTGTTCGAAATTAAGGCTACTTATCGAATAATATGGTAGGGATAAATTCTTGTAAAATTTAAGAATAATATCTAAAAAAAGAATTTTATCTACAAATAATTAACTATATAGGTGCATCTAATTTAGTCTAATGATTTCTATAGTCAGATGGCCTTGATCTCAAGGCTTAGCACATATGGGTATGTGTGTGTGAGTTAAAAAAAAAAAAAAAAAAAGAAAACTAGATATCCTTAAAGCTTATTGATAAATTTAACAAAAAGTATGCTATTGTTGAATTCAAAATTTAAAAACAAGCCCATGCCAATGTATTTTGAAAATTTTTATTGTAATGATAAAATTTATGATTTTGATTCAATGGTTAATACTTTTTTGCTGCTCAATCTTTATCACGAAGCACTTGATATAAGATGCATATTTTTTTGTGGATGCTTGGAGATGCTTTCTTCAATGTCAATGATGTGATTTGAACATTAGCACCACTAGCATTATATATCAAAAAATCAGTTTCTTAAAGCTAATACAAACATGGTTTCTTGATCCCTTTTTGATCCGATGCCCACAAATCATCATTGATGCTTTTTATTGTAATTCTCTTTGAAGTGATCAGATTAACCATCCCTTTATGATGTGATCCCTGCTTCACGGGTTCCTCTTTTATGAGGATTTCATTTCTGTGAAGTCATAACCTCAAGTGGGAGCCTCCCAATTATACTACTTTGTGGTGTAAAAAAACTATACTTTTTGAAATTTTTAGTAGATTTGTGAAACTTATTTGTGAACTTACTGTTTCATTTAGCTTTCATTTCACTGTAAGAACCTCCCACAATTGTCAACTGTCATATCTTGGGGGTATTGTTTAGTTTGACTTGGTTCTATGGTATTATATCATATTTCTAGTCTTCCAAAATTGATGAGACATTGATTTTTTTGAGAGGTAAACAGTTTTTATTTTTATTTATTTATTTGAGCGAGGTTACAGTTGATCATTCAGACAAATACAATTTAGAATGCTTTGATAAAAATGCCTTTGTCCTCATTGAGATCAATATCGACACAGTATTCTTTGTTTGTAGATTATAGTATTACAAAGAATTCAGAGAGAGAGAGAGAGAGATAGAGAGAGATAGCGGGGGAGGGATTGCCTAAAAAGATATAATTTTGGCATTTAAGCCCAATAAGGTTTACTGGGTGACATTGTTGGGGTGTTTGTAAAGATCATGACATTTTAGAATTGTCCTGTGCAGTATTGAGCATTTTGTTTTCTTTTCTGAGTAGGTGATTGAGCCAAGGACTTAGGAAATGATGTAGTTAAAGAATGGAACTCTAGTCATTATGAGGCATAGGTAGGAGAGGTTTTTGGAATTGAGAGGATTGATATTCATACTTGTCAATGATGAATAGAATACCATAGCATAAAAGTATCCGTGGAGCCATAACACATATCATATAGGACAGCACACTTCATTTTGAATATAATGCAATATTTTAAAAAAATGAATAAAATACAAATAAATATGAAAGATTATTAAGTAAGATAAAACATCATGACAAGTGCTTAATACCTCAATCACCTAAAATTCAAATATTAAAATTTTTTCTAGTCTAATATTTTCATAAGAGATTAAAGTAGTCATCTAAAGAATTATCATTTTAAGCAAAGAAAGCCTCATTTCTCTCATCATCATTATCATTAGCATTATCTCTTAAATCATAATAATCCTCATCGTCATGTTCAGTTTCAACAATATTAAGTCTGGATGAATAATTTTTTCTTTGCCTTTATATTATTTTTCAATATTAGAACTTCTTTCATAAATACTAGTGACCTTCGTAATCATACTTCATGTCAAATATTCATAATCAATAATAAGTCATTATTTTGATCTATCTCATCATCTATTTTTCTAGATAGCCACTTATTAGCATTATCTATATTGTTTAATGAGACATGGTCAAGAATGTCACGATGGTTATTTATGTGAATCAGAGGCGTATTATATTTTATATAAACAAAATCTATGAGGCGATTTTGCTTCATTGTGCTGCTTCTTGCACTATGAACTGCGATTAAAACTTATTAAAATTAATAAATAAAATATCATGATAACAATTAATACACAATTTTGTGTACATGCATGTTCAAATGTGCTCGAATTAGGTTAACATCTAGATGAACCATATGTTATGCTAAGTATGGAGCTCTTTGGTTATACGATGGCCACTAATTTGTTGAAAGTATTTAAAAAGTTTTTATATTATTTAAATATCATACTTTTATTCAATATTAATTTTAATTTCACATAAATCATAATATTTGGCCCATGTGGTTTTTTTTGTCTTGCATATGGAGGGGTATCAAAAGGTCTTTCACTCTTAGTTTACACACTCAATTTATGGTTAGTTTTTTCGTC